CTCAAAAAGCAATCAGGTACTCGAAATGCTAAATAAGCAATCAGGTACTCAAAATGCTCAAAAAGCAATCAGGTACTCGAAATGCTAAATAAGCAATCAGGTACTCAAAATGCTCAAAAGGCAATCAGGTACTCAAAATGCTCAAAAAGCAATCAGGTACTCAAAATATAAAGGTCAACTTACATGAAGTTGAAAATGCACTTATACCTGGCCACTTGATAAGATGGAACCAGAACAACGGCAACGCCAAAGCGTAGCAAATCCCATTCTACCAAAAGTGTCATTAGACCATTTGCCATACTTATAGTATTCACATACCAAATATGAACAAAATCGCTCCACTACTTTTCGAGTTATAGTAAAAAACGTTAAAATGGCGGCCATTTTGAAAAATGGCCGCCTACTACCCCAAGTGTCATTAGACAGTGTGCCATGCTTATAGTATTCACATATAAAATATGAAACATACCAAATATGAACAAAATCGCTCTACTACTTTTCAAGTTATAGTAAAATACGTTAAAATGGGGCCATTTTTCAAAATGGCCACCTTCTACCAAAAGTGTCATTAGACAGTGTACCATGCTTTTAGTATTCACATACCAAATATAAACAAAATCGCTCCACTACTTTTCCAGTTATAGTAAAATACGTTAAAATGGCGGCCATTTTGAAAAATGGCCGCCTTCTACCAAAAGTGTCATTAGACAGTGTGCCATCCTTATAGTATTCACATACCAAATATGAACAAAATCGCTTCACTACTTTTCGAGTTATAGTAAAATAGGTTAAAATGGCGGCCGTTTTTTAAAATGGCCACCTTCTACCAAAAGTGTCTTTAGACAGTGTGCAATGTTTATAGTATTCACATACCAAATATGAACAAAATCGCTCAACTACTTTTCGAGTTACACTAAAAATCGTAAAATAACGAGTAAAGGCCGCCATTTTTCAAGATGGCTGCCATGTGCTTCTTTAATATCTACATTTCTAGCTTTATTAATGTCCTATATCATTTTTTTACATCTAAAACATATTGCTATTACAGTTTTACATATTGCACCTAAATTACTGTAAATTCGGCACTAAAATGGCCGCCATTTTGAAATGAGCCGCTATTTTGAAAATCGGCTTTCGAGCAGAACTTCTACCCCCATAGGGTATATGTGTACAAAATATAAACAAAATCGGGCCAACGGTATTTGAGTTATTGCCCAGATGGACGGGAGTACGTACGGATGTACGTACGGACGGACAGAGGCATTCCCTATATCCCTCCAAAGTTTGTTCGATGGGATAAATAGTGAAACATTGCAAAACTGGGAGAATAAGGTACATTCTGGTTGAGAAAATATTTTGAAATGATATACAACTAACTGTCAAGAAGTGGCATTATGAAAGGTTAACGGTCAACAAAATATTGTATCTACACAAGGGAAATAATCACAAATGAATAGACTATTCAAAATACTACCTAATTACACATTGCCTAATGTTATATCAGTCTAACATTTCCATCCATCCCATGGGACTGTCTCTATAGTTCAATTCTTTAAGGAACATTGTTTATCATGAAGTATATTACTAGCTATATGGAATGTTATCCAATTATCCTCATCAGCGGGGTATTGCCACTATACGTTTTTTAATTCCATAGAGAAAACAACCCAAAAGGCTGCGAGAACTAGACGCAATTGATAAAGGATTCATTCAGCAATAACTGGCAAGGTTCAAGTGCAGTTAATATAAATCCATTGAATTTGCATAACTTCCATCGATGTGCTCTTCTGAGAAGGGTTTGACGTATGTATCCATTTTGTGATATGTAGAACAAGGTTCCTATTGAGAATAAATATGTCTCTCTTCGCTCCCGATTGATGTTGTTGAATATGTAATAATGTCTGATGTGTATAATAGCATCAGACTGCACCACCTAATGAATGCAAATATTACAAAACCTTGCTAAAAATTAATGTACTTGTATAAAACAATATCACCAGAATGTGACACGATATAAACTAGTACATTCCTTATGTCATATTATGGATTAAGATGACACTGAATAACACAGCTGTAGTAGAACCTAATATGGTCAAAATTATATTACAATGACCCGATGACAATTTATGCCCAAACAGGTTGATTAATAGAACTGCGAGTCAAAAAATCAGATCATAATAATCTCCAATCGGCATTTGCACAATGCAACTAAGGTCTCACATAACCACTAATTATAATTACGGTTTAAGTTGCTATAGCAATATGGGACAGGGTAGCCCAGAAAATGGCTTTTCTATCTAATTTAGTTGTTAGGTAGGTAATTTGTGTATTGTTGGATCATCAATCCTCATCTAAAGCTCCCAAAGTAGATCTCTCTAATTACATGCTATAGCCAAAGGACTGACTTTTTCAAGTTAAAGCAATTTCATTTACTTCATCTACCCATTTTCATTCAGAAATCTTTGTTTCTTGTTTCATTTAAATTTACTTAAATGTTTTTTTTATTAAAATCAAAGTAACAAATTTACAGGTTGTAGTGGCTATGACCCCCAAGAGGGAGTATTTCTGACATATCCTCAAAATAATCTGGTCATTGTATTTCTATAGATGCTTAAATTCAAGTAAATTGCAAATAGGCTATCTTTCAATATAAACACAATTGTAATTTGTTGTTCAGTTAAATTATATAGTTCAGTTCATGCACAATGAAGCACCTCACAAGTGGAACACTTTTTGGCATAATCAAGGGCATTCCACATACATAGGTTATACTGTATGTACATAACCCCATTTTCATCTTTTGTTTTAAATGCACTGACTGTATACATTATATAAGAAATGGCATATTTCCTATCTTGATCTAATAACAAGGAAAGCTTCTATTTTCAGACAGGTAGTCACTTCAGATCAAACATTTCTCAAAAATCAATATTCTTGTAATCTTGATACTTGACAGATATTTCCAATTTAGGATAATTTCTGACATTGTTCCATTTGTTTTGAGAAAAGTATATCAGTTCACACATACAGTGAAACCTGTAAAGTAGAACAACTCTAGAAGTAGAACACTTTTGAGAGTCCCAAGACCAACTGACTGACTTAATGTTAAATGAACCTCTATAAGTGGAACACTTCCCAAGTGGAACACTTTTTAGAGGTATCAAATGTGTTTCAATTATGCAGGCTTTATTGTACAATGATTTGAAATGAATATCTATAAAACAACTGTCAAACTAGAAAGTCAGCAACACTGGGAGTAGTAAATCTCACTAAAAAACTATTCTATCAAATCACTCATCATATAACATTTTATGATTGAAATAATTCTGCTTTTGGAAAATCTACACCTATGCCTAAAGTGACAAAATAAAAAGCAGTCCTATGCAAATTTCTTCTGGAGCAGTCCTTTTTCCCTAAATCTATCAACTGGTATTTGAGTTATCATAGATTATATCTTTACAACTGAGGGAATCCTTCTCTATATCACAACTTGAACTTAGTTCATTGGTATTATATAGACCTATTTTCCCTTTAAATCTCAAAATTTCCATAACAACAGGCCTAAGCTAGCTAAGGGTGCTTTAATTCTCAAAAATCCAGGGGGGGGGGGTTCATGTTGACAACCTTTGCACTAAAAATCACTTGAAAAGTGCTCAGAATGGTGAAAAACTGCATGATTTTGAAAAGATCCAGCTCCAGGCCTGATCCATCCCAGCAAATGCAAACAAGATTTTTGTAGTGCCAGCCCCCACTCACACAGACACTCACATACGCACACAAATCTGCTAAAGTCAATTCATATACAACTGTGTTAAATATGTGCAATAAAATAGACATCACATTGCAATAGAAGCTTTAGTATACTGCCATCTTTTAGTCTTACCAATGGAAAATCATAGTTGTAAACCAAACTTATATCTTCAACATTCTTAGCAATATAAGCTGAATGCAATTGTTTAAATATAGCAAACCTCTATTATATATAAGTTTATAGCATAATTAATGTAGGCATACAAGTGAACACATTGAGATGGTAAATAAATGTGATGAGCCATAGCTTCATTGCAACACATGTCCTTGAACCGACAAGGTAGAGTCTAAAAATATGAGCAGCTCAATGTTATACAGGGATAATACTTGTACAATTCTTGCTCTGAGATCCCCTGACTGACCCTGTATATAACTGGAACTCTGCCTATTATGTGTCTAAATTGGTCCATGTATGATGCCCCCTTTTTGGCAATTTGTAAAAAATTCATAATTCTGCAAAGAAAATAGTCTCCCGATTACATAATATTGAGCTTTTGGAACAGCAAATACAGATGGACAGGGTTATCCCAAATGAAGTTATCCCCATTCTTAGAATACACATCCTCCCAAGCAGATGTCCAGAATCCGTACCTCCTTCTTCCCCCTGCTATAACCAAATTGGAAGTGCCCGATTAAACTGAATCACATGATCTAATTATGCGCCGATGACATATACATGACTGCTGTCGCAGTGTTGCGACAGCGAATCAAATTGCAAGTTCTTAATCGGGGAAATGCTGACTGCTTATAGCAGTAAAAAGAAAGAAGATATTCAGGATTTTGAAGCCCTGTGATCGGAGGATGATAATACAGGGCCACATATCTATAGAGTTCATTTAAATTCAATTAAGTTTCCCCTTGAAAGAAAAAGAATGTGTCATACATTTAGCGGTGCAAGAGCATAGAAGGCTAAAGTATCCCTAATAGTACAATTTTTGTATAATTTTCTCTTTGTTACTTGTCCCTGGTCATTTGGAGTGCAAAGGTGCTTAATAAATAAATACATTATGTATAACAAGGCATTAACACGCAAAATGTCACCACCATTTGTTACATATGCTGAACATCAACCACCAACACCAACCACTACCACAAAAAATTGGAGACTATAGAAATATGTCAGCACTTGTGGTGGTGACATACAAGTGGTGACATAAAAATCAAGATCTTCAATTAAATCATTAGCTTACATATTTATTTCAGCACTAGTGTCTTCTCTGTCTGTCTGTATTGACTTATGGCATCCAGGTTTTCTAGCCGCCATCTTTCGAGCTGACGTTCTTTTTGCTTGTCTGCCACGCCCACCTGCAGTTGACTTACTGTATGTCTGCCTTGTCACATCTGAGTACCTGGAAATATATTTAAATTGTTGTCTGAAAATTCCAATGAAATACAGTCTGGTGTTAACACCAAAGCATAGGTTTAAAGGAACATTATTTCAAAAAACATTTTCTTCAAGTACTAGAGTATCGAAAGATGTTTTGGCAGATCAATCTCAAATCACTAAAAATTATTTGTTCTCTATACTGAAACTGCTATTAGGTGTTTGACAATAGATGGCAACATTGTTCTGGGTTTCGCCAGTTTTAATATGCTCTGGCTGTAATAGCTTTAGCTATGATTATACAAGATTTTGAATTTGACGCATGGAATACTTATTAAAAACCATAAAGCATATTAGATAATTATAGTTTCACTAATTCCTCGATCAATAAAGAGATGGTCCAAAGATGCATAAGTGAGCTAAAGATGAGTTAACTGACTTATAAGAACCGTTCAATAAGGCTAACCTTAATAACAGATATGGTCCCCAACTAACCAAGGCAATTTGCACAATATTCTCAATAAAAACTCGGGTGAAGTGGCAGATGTCATTGAAGTTTTAAAGTTTAAGTGTATACATTATTATTATTTATACCTATTTTGCCTTTCCTACATTTCTGGATTTATATATTTCAATTGTTTATTGTAAAGCATAAGCAATAAGATATTTCACTCATAGGAGCATGAAACATGGATTTTTTCCTATTATGAATTCTACAAATATAGCAAGACAAATCTGGAATTTATTTTGATCCAGAATTAATAATATTTGTTTAAGCTTATTTCGAGAATATTGAATCTGAAAATCTGAATTAGTCAAATCATTTGTTATATACAGGGTGGGCAAAAGAAACGCCACTTTTTTTTCAAAATGCTATAACTTTTTTAATTTTTGATACAAAATCATAATTTGCATATCAATCTTGAGGTTGTTATCTAGCCATGGATCATGAATTGAACACTTTCACTATAATATAATATGTCACCAGCGTCTCATTTAAACATGTGGTGTGCCATGAGAAATAAGCATAATTTGCAAAATGTTCCTGAACTGATACGGCCTGATGATCGCCAAGCTAATAGTCCTGATGCAAACCCCAGTGAGAATAGGGTATGGGAAGGTCTCCAGGAGATTGTATGAAGGCACCCTATCTAGAAAATTGCTCAACTAAAGCTGACAATTAAGACAGGTTGAAAAAAACTTAGCTAACATTTCATTGATACTGCTATATCAGCAAGGCGACTAAAACTAAAATATATCATCAAATAGGGTGGCGGACCAATTGAACTCCTCTTTTAAATCAAATATAATCCAAGTTGAAGGACTTGTTACATTATATTATTACTAGGAACCCCTGGTACTATATAACTGCAAAATTTGGGGTATGTAGGTTGGAAAATAAAAATGTTGTAGTGTCTTGAAAAAAAGTGGCGTTTTTTTGGCCCACCCTGTAGTATTCCCTTGAGTTTTCTGCATCGATGCAAAAATCAAAATTAGACATTTGTCGTAGCATCTTTTCAAAATCTTACCTATTATGCATGGTGATAATGAAAAGTTTCATATAAATACTAAATAAATACATACTTATATAAAAAATATCATATAATATTCAAGAGTAAAGGTAGATGAAATATTCTACATTAGTCTAAGAAAATCACTGCTTTCATTTAATATGTCTTTGAATTGTTACCATTGATCCATTGCCTTGCATGTTGTCAGTTCAATGTTACATACTGATCTCTTTCCTAATTATATCGGACAAGCGGATATCTGTTTTTTCATTCATGAACTATACTCCGATACTTCAATCATTCTTTAGAAATCAAATGGACATTATCCTAATAGGCAATTTGGTAAGAAATTGCAGATATAAAATGTTGAAAAACATTGATCTATCAGTTTAAGACAAAGAGTAAGCTCCTGCTCATATTTGCACAAAAAAGAAAAAAAGAAAATATGGTTTGCTGTGTATTTATGTCCGATCTTCTTCCAACATACCTATGAAACCACAAGTAATATAAACACTGGTGAACCAAAGTATGAGTTTGTTGACTGTATCAATTAGAATCTCAATCTGTTATTCTTACAGTGCAATTTGTGTGGGAAATAATATATACATGTATTAGATGCTGCCATACATGTGGTCATTCAAATATCATCTCAATGTCCAAAGCTCAGTGATTGGACATTAAAAATCAATATCAATGAAATTTATCAATACCAATAAAATTTATTTCAGTTAAGAAAACAGTATACAAGCAACATAGACTCAAGGCATACACTGGTAACACTTACTATATAAGTCTTATTTCAATCATCACCAAATTCATACATCACAACCCTGGTTCTATTATAAACACAAGAACTACTACTGTGACATTTATATACACATGCAAGATAAGTACAGTCTCTATAATGACCCTCAAAGGATGTGTATTGAAATTGCTAAATTAGATCACGCTGGCTGAATCATATAATTAGCCTGCTACTAAATATACTTTTCACATTATGATACTCCTAGTCCCCAGAGGGAATGTGTTTCATCCACTGGTTATTGATGCTGCAGAATGCAATCATTTGCTCTGAGATACATTAAGCTATTGCACCAATTTCAATATATTCTTAACATACCTTTTGAAATCTATGTACTTAGGAATGTAAATATCAAATTCATACATTCTTGCTGCAAGGGTATTTTAAAAATTATATATTTGAATTAAAGCATACATGAAGTCCTTTGGAGAAGGATGAAATCATAGATCAGGCAATGAGATGGTTATACTGATATTCTGTGGGCATTTGACAGCTTGACCATTCACATTGATTGTTGATAGATTTATATTGACCTTTGTGATGAATATTTGATCCTTAGTTTTGGAAGTAAATGAAATGTACTTTACCTATTGTAGATCGAATGCTAACTGCCATTATCTTCTATAATCAAAAATTATGAAAGACTTGACCTTTTATGAAAATATCATGATTTCATGTACTGGATTCCTTTTGAATATCCTTATTGAATGTGTTTAGGAAAACATAAGTACAAGCACAAAAAGGGAAAGAGCAAAGAGTATTACAAAATATAGCAACCATAGAAGGAAAACAAGCCCCTATATCACAAAAAATGTCTTTTGCCCTTCTCCACCTTTCAGGAATCAATTTCACAATCCAAAACCACAAGACCGTAGAACATTTCGTTTGCATACTAAGGTTGGAAATACTCTAATACTCAAATAAAGTAAATTCTGCGAACAAGGAACACTCTCCAGGCTGTAACCACTTTTCCATGTTCTTTGTGAACAGGTGTATTTTGAAAATTTGCCCTATAACAATGTTCCTTGTACCGAGTAGACAGGTGTTCCACACAGAGAGGGTCCACTTCAATTCAAGTCAATGGAAAAACATTTGATTTCTAAAAACTATTCACAGACATGCTCCTTACAGAAAGATGTTCTATCAGACAGGTTTTACTGAACTATTCTTGATGTTGATAATAGATGTAGTTTAGTACTTCGGTATATAGAATGTGGAACAGACAATGTCTAGAAGAGGGTCAACATCCATCTGAGATAGTCCATAGAAGACATTAACATAATGCGCAACAGAATGCCTTCTGCGCATGTTAAAATTTTTCCTCAAAACTCAAAATTGTTCAAGTTGATACGATTGTCTTTCGAACGAGAGACTTACTTAATCATTCGAGAGATTCCAAAATACTTTATCTATACTGAAGATCTTGGATACCAGTATAGTAGAATACACTGTCAGTCCACTTTTGATATTTTAGAGTGAGTTTCTGTAGATCGTCAGATTTCTCCGACTGATATTGGGTTATCTCAAATTGGTTCGTTTATAAATACGAATATCTGCACCCTTGTAAGATGCATGCACGAAATTAATTTATAAATTTGATTGGTTAATGATTTTCTCCTGAGCATGCATGAAGTCTGATGAACACTTATTATGAAAACACGGAGCAAGCATTACTAGCTCTCGAACAAAATTCCAAAATTCAGATCATTTTGCTATGTTTGCTAAACGTGTATATGTAAGTGACAAGCTGTTTTAGTAGATTAGGTACGTGTTTTAGACACATTAATTTATCTTGACATTGAGGTGCACGGCCGCACTTTAGAGCATGTCAATACAAGTTTTTATATCCTTAGCAGGAGACTGGTTTTCGAAAAATCTGTTATCTAATTCACTTGATTATCGTATGGATATGTATTTCTGCTGACGTTTTAACACCACAACACATAGAATCATGATCCAGCTTCAGTAAGTAAACATGTGACATTTATTAACAAGGCATGAACATGCAAAATGTTACCACCTGCATTTGCTGCAGACAACATTTGTTACAGACGGCGAACTCCAAACCTCGACCACTGGATGCTGGACACCTTTGGTAAGAAAGTTGGAGACCATGTCAATATGTCATCACTGACGGTGAAATAACAACCAATCAGAATTGCCTCATTTCATAATGTATATTACATACAAGAAAGAGAGATTCCATCATATCTTACAAGGTATTAACATGAAAAATGGCACCACATGCCATTTGTTACAGATACTGTATTTTGAACATCTACTGCCCAACACCATCCAAAAAGACCATAATTTGTAGTGGTGACATAACAAAACTATTCAGAATTTTGCAAATTGAAAGAAAATGTTATTCAGTCATAAAAATATTTATTCATATTTCACAAATATATATCAACTGATTGGTATTTGATTGATTTCATCTTGGACAAGTTATCTATCGTCCTTTGGGTCCTCTCCCTCTTTTCTTTCCTCCTTTCTTTCCTCTTCCCTTGCCTGGTTGTCGAGTAGTGGTTGGAGCAGTACCAGTTGGATCACCACTTCCTTCAACAGTTTCCTCCTTTCCTTTGCCTTTGCCCTTTCCCCTTCCCTTTCCTTTCTTTCCTCCCATTCCTTGTTCTTCTTCCTCTTCTTCCATTTCTAGTTTACAAAGAGATATCGTTATTAGAGATATAATGAATAAATGCATTTAGTTCTGGGGAAACTGCTCACTTCAGTTGATGGTCGGTATCAAATAAACAGACTAAGAAGAATTATCAAAATAAACTTTCCCATATACTGAAAAAACTCCCATGTCATGCTATCATTTAAAGGGTAGTATTATTATTCAGGATCACATGCACTTTTAGTTCCCTTTTAATTAATTAAGTAATGGAAAGTATGGGTTCTATACTAAACAGATTCCAAAAAAACTTCAAATTGAAAGAACCTTTGAGACACTATGTGACTTCCAATGGTAAATCATTGATAACTCTCAGTTACATATTTATACACTAAATTTTTACCAATTACACAGGCAAAATTATAAGGATATCATATAATAATATAGAAGTGATTTATGCCAACCACAATTCATTGAATATTCAATATTTTAAATAATATCATCAAGAAGAGTTGAAACCAGATACATTTTTTCAAGATACATTTTTGCAAGGTCAAATTATGACCTACATCTACATGTATGTTGCTTAGACCATTATGATACTATTTAAAATGTTTAATACTGCGTTTTAGAATTACCCGAGGTGGTGGTGCATTGCATAATAGGTAATAATGAGATTTCCCGCAGGTATCAAGAAAAAGAACAAGAAGTCCTGTATTGCAAATTACATGGTTGCATGTTTCAACAAAACAACTCATCAGAGCACGCTTATAATACTCACACAATTCTTTTGAAAGAGATCACGATTTATTGCAATTGCACTCCTGTGGTGCATGAGTAACAAGCCTGCACGGGTGACACACGTGAGCAGTCGTAAAGGTTGCAACAGTGTTATTAGTGGTTTAAGTGCACTTGAATGAACTGCTTTTGTTGAAAATGTGTGATCATGTAATTTGCAACGCATGGGTTCATTGTTCTTTTTCCCGATACCTAAGGGGAATACTTATTTTATGCAAAGAACTTGCCCGCAGGTAGTTCAAAAATGCAGCCTTATGCAGTGCCTATTTTTTCCCTTTTTACAGATCCTGCATATGTTGTCAAATATAGAATGGCTTATGATTGGTCAGAAAGTGATATCTAATGTATACTCTGTACGTGTGAAATGAATACCCTACAAAAATTACATACCCATATGTGCTTTGATTTCTGCTGGATCAGTACATTTACATGTTTTGGGTTGTTTCATTTTAGGTTCCATTTTTGGTTTCTTTTCTGGACCCATGTCGCCACCCATTGTATCAGGGGCATTTTCATTCCCTGGTTTCTCATTCTCAGGTTTCTCTGGTTTGCAGAAGCATTCGTCTCCCTCCGCACACCGCCCGGCCAGCGTGAATATACCAGGGGGCATCAATTTGCCACAATATTCACCTCTCTCTACTATTTCACACTATAATATGAAATACTAATATTTATTATGAATGGAATATGTTTCTCAATTTCTAGACAAAAATATGGAAATTGATAGACTGAGGTATATCTTGAACACAGGGTATGCACCAAATTAAGCGTGACAGTTGAAAGCACGGGCTACGATACAACATGAGGGTGATGAAATTTGATCAAACTTATGTTTTCATCATTTCAGAAAGATCTGGTCTAATTTCTAGATTATTTTTATACATGAATGCCTGTAACAATATCCCAGACAGTGAACCTGACGTTGAATTTCATAGTTAAACCTACTCAAACTCTGGATGTAGTATACGGTATAATGTGCAGGTAAGATACAGTATAACGCAAATTCAAACCCCTTGTGTTGTACCTTACCATTACCATTTCATTCATGACAATTTGTGTCTGATGTTAAAAACTAGAAATCGGCAACTCCATGGAGTTGCATACCCCAATGAATGCAATATTCATGAATCTTTAAATTTCATAATGTAATATTTACCATCTACTCTACCCTTGATTAAATTGGCAGATATTAAAAGACATACATTAGAGATATATCGGAATTTCACTTTAAGAATTTGGGTGACCATTTTAGCAGTAAGACACAAATCACAAAGACATTACAATATTTGAGATCATACTTAGTATAATTTAACCATACTTTGAAGAGATCTCTAAGTTATAGCAAATTCTTGCTCTAAGCAGCCATTTTGAATTTTCTGAAGCACATATCAGAAAAACAACACCAAAACAACACCATAATTGTGATCTACTCAAAATTCCATTCAATTTGAGTATAATATAGCCATACTTTGAAGAGATTAGATAATTGTTGCAAAATCCCACATTAAACAGCCATTTGGAATTTTACGAGGCCTGAATCAGAAAAATGATCCAATATTTACAATCTACTTGCAACCTGCCTTGTTTTCATTTGAATATAATAAAGCTATACTTCAAACAGATCTCAAAATTAACAAAAATCCTGTTTAACTGACCTCCATACACGGCCCCTGGGGGTCGGGCTGAAAAACACTGAATATATGTGCAAAAGATAGATGTTGTGAATATACTACCAAAGTTTCAAGAAATTTCTAAAGCCATTTCTAAAGCGGTGGCCTTTTTGAAAATATTTTTACTTGCATTTATTTACCAATATACATCTTTCCACCAAAGTTGAAGCAGATACTTCCACTGGTATTTGAGTTATCTTTCAGACAGATGAACTGATGGACGTGCAGACTGACCGATGGATGGATGGAGCGTTTCACTATATCCCTACTAAACTTTGTTCATTGGGGTAAATATCTGATGGTTGACCCTCTTATAGTGTGTACCATACCACTGTAGTGAGGCCATACTTTATACAAGGGCTGATCAAAAAGTTTCTTACCATTGGCTCTCAATTTTGTAATAAGAGGAGTTGGAAGCTCAAACTTTAACATGAGACAGGATAGTTAGTTTGCTTGAAACTGTGCGAGTTTCATATAAATTGGTTTATTGGTAGTGACACAGAGTCAATTCATATTTTCAATGACAAAGTTAGGTGGAGCAGCCTTATATATAAAATATCTGCCGAGTTGTGGTTCTGGAAATTTACCGATATTGTTTTAAACCTCTCATACGAAGGCCTTAAACATGTGTTTTTAGATCGAGTGGACAGATATAGGAAGTGCAATCGCAACTGGGGTTGACTATTTTGAATGAGAATGAATATTAGCAGAAAAACTAATTAAACATGATTAAACTACAGTCTGTTGACAGATGACACTACTTAGTGTTAGAAATTTCCATAACTGCAGCTTAGCACAATTTTTTTATAAAAAACGCTGCTCCACCTAATTCAATCATTGTAAATATGTATTGACTCTGTGTCACTACCAATAAACCAATTTATATGAAACTCGTACAGTTTCAAGCAAACTAACTATCCTGTCTCATGTTAAAGTTTGAGCTTCCAACTCCTCTTATTACAAAATTGAGAGCCAATGGTAAGAAACTTATCACCCTGTCGTATGTAAAAGTTTGAGCATTCAACTCCTCTTATTATAAAATCTAGATAAAATCTGTATACAAAATATAGTAAATCACTTTGAACTTACTACTGGGTCTGCTACAGCACCAGCTAACACAAATTCAACAAGGCAAATGCCAAAAGCCAAAGGTATCAGGTATTTTGCCATAGTTACTAGAACATAAAAAACAATAAGTTAAATTCAACACAGTTTTGTGATGTTGATTACTCGAAATATGCAGTGATCTCCCTGCCTGAGAACCCACTGGCCCAAACCTAACTTAAAAATGAGAAAAGCCATATTGCATAGAATTATGTCACAACTTGAGAAAAAAATCCTGTAGAGAACACTGATATGATTTTTGTTTGCTTGTATTAATTGAGAGCAGTAATTGCAATGATCTATTAAGAGTATAAATGAAATGTTCAGCTCTTACCTTCAATTCTCCTCTTGAACTGACTGCTGCTGAACTGTTCTTGAGGCTTATATATCAAATAGACAAGTCTGATGCACGCTATATGTGACATCACTTCATGTTTTGGACTTCCAAAACAATCAAAATTAAAAATTCAATTAATCACGTTTTAATTTTAGCATGTCAGATATAAAACAAAAATTATATGCATGACTAAATACGAGAAAAAGGCCTTGAGTTTATGTGAAATGTCAATGTCATAAATTCAATTCATAATCAATCAATTCATAAATTGAAGTTTTCAACATTGTTTTAAACATATCTAATTATATAGATTTCAAATAGAAACGATTAATATCTATGAATTGATTGATCTATGTTGATTGTTGCAGAGAATGCTTTTCATCTAGAAATTATGAAACACTATCAACACTGGTTCTCCACTTGATCACACTGTAACTGAAACAGAATCTTTTTTGTAAAGATTTCAAATAGAAAACATTAATATCTGTGAATTCCCAATGTTGATTGTTGCAGAGAATGTTTTTCAGACTGATCCTCATCTAGAAATTATGAAAAACTTTCAACACTGGTACTCCACTCGTTTACGCTGTAACCGTAACAGAATCATTTTTGTAACAAAATGTCAGAACCTCAAAGGTATGATTTTTCTTTTTTCCTTATTTCACAAGTTGTTGTCAGAATTACCACGGCATTCTTAAGACAAAGTGTGTGAGTATCCTATGTCCATTTTTTGTCTGAGAAAATGTACATGTTTGCAAACAAATAGTTCAGAAGACAACAGAATCGTAAACTATTTAATACCTCACTTTGGTTATGGTTAACTTCTAACCCAATCTGTATCAATCATTCAGGTAAAATACCATTGATATATGCCTGAGAAAGTCTCATTAAGTTAATGTTTTTATTCAATGAATTCAATTCTGGCAGATACCGTATTAATTCCAATAAATGCATTTTTCATGCCTCAAATGACAAAATCCCTGGGGATTTCTGAAAGATTATACAATGAACGATAATAGGATACCTTCATGAGTTTCCTCTTCAAAACTGGACTAACTCAGACTAGATAACATAGTAGCATACCTCGATATTTTCCTCATGCATTTATCAATCTGCTGAATGTGTTTTCGTGGGTTAAATGAGATATGTGTGTCAAATATCGATGAGAAAACATTCTCACATCGGGCTGCCATTTTGGGAACTGATGGCGATACTCGAGTCAAAATCTAACTGATTTTTGAACTGGTGGCTATCTTAAAAAATATTTTTTGCGTTAAACTATTTACCAATATGCATAAAAATGCAAAATGTTACCGCCTGCATTTGTTGCAGACAACATTTGCGACAGGCCCGCCGGCCCAACAGAGGGCTTCACTATATCCCGCCCGCCCGCCCGACAGATGGCTTCACTATATTCCGCCCGACCGACAGAGGGCTTCACTATATCCCTACTAAACTTTGTTCGTTGGGATATCTATTCAGCATTTTATAAATTAAAAGAAAATGTTATTCAGTCATAAAAATATTTATTCATATTTCACAAATGCATAACAACTGATTGGTATTTGATTGATTTTGTCTTGGATAGAAGGTGATCTATGGTTTTTTCCCTCTTTTCTTTCCTCCTTTCCTTCCTCCTTTCTTTCCCTTGCCTGGTCGTCGAGTAGTAGCTGGAGTAGTGGCAGTTGCATCACCACTTCCTTCAACAGTTTCCTCACCATCAGCTCCACCCATCTCCTTTCCTTTGCCCTTTCCCTTTCCTTTTCCCCCTTTTCTTCCTTTCTTTCCTCCCATTCCTTCTCCTTCTTCCTCTTCTTCCATTTCTAGTTTACAAAGAGACATTATTATTAGAGATAAAATGTATAAATGCATTTAGTTCTGGGGAAACTGCTCACTTCATTTGATGACCAGTATCAAATAAACAGACTAAGAAGAATAATTATTAAAATAAACTTTCCCATATACAGAAAAAACTCACATGTCATGCTATCATTTAAAGGGTAGTATGTGTTATTTAGATCTTAAATTAACATAACATATTTTAATTCATCATCATATGTAACTTTCTTCATCAACAGACTATTTAATATTTTCAGAAAAGGTTTGTACCAAATTTTATAGATAGCGAAAGTAAAAAGATCATTAAAAATAATTTAGGATCACATGCACTTTTAAGTAATGAAAAGTATGGGTTGTATACCAAGCACATTCCGGAAAAACTTCAAATTATGAGACACTGTGACTTCCCATTATAAATCACTACCTAAATTCTCAGTTAAATATACTCCCCAAAAAAAGGTTAAGGACCAGTGGTTTACATGTTAACCACCATATTTGTTTGAACGACTATTTTCTAAGCGTGGAACAAAGGAAAACCCGATAGTAAATAAATCTGTATGTTGATATTCTCTATAAAATTCAATGTTATATCTCCATTACAATAGGTCAAAATTTGATGTCAAAATTGATGAATTTCATGAAATTTAACAAAAATGGCCTAGAAAATAGTCATTCAAACAAATATGTGGGTTAACATGTAAACCTATGAAGAAAACCACTGGTCCTTAACTTTTTTGAGGAGTATATTTTTACCATACACTAAATCTTTACCAATTACAAAGGCCAAAATTGTTAACACATTGCTGGCCAAAGCTATTTTTGGAGGTTTTCTGCTGGTAACTGCCAATTTTGATGGAAAATTAAGCAAAATTGCATGTTTTCACATTAGCATAAAATAGACTGTATCAACACGCTATGTGCTAATTTATATGCCATTTGTGAAGCCAATGACAAAACATTTCAATTGCACCCTACCAGGTTCCCCTAGTGACCACTAAAATATTTGGTAAGATAACTGGTACAGATTATGTGACAACTACTGGACAGCACCCCCAGATATCTCGGGGTTGGTCACATATGATTATGACGTCATAGACAAAATATCTCGGGGTTGGTCAGCAATGAGTTAAGGATATCATACAATATATGAGTGCTTTATTCCAACCACAATTCATTGAATACTCAAAATTTATATAAAATCATCAACAAGAACACAAATGTGTACAAAATGTCCCCACCTATGGGTGATCCCGTCAAATGGTTATCCTAATGAAGGACCCACGGTCCTATGCTCACACAGTTTGGAACCTTCAGAGGAATTTATATCCTGACTTTCAAACAAAAATATTGATTTGGATTTGTAGTCTCGAACTTTGAGAAACTTAGATAGCATAGTTATGTGACCTAGTTTGATGACCTTTGACCTTGAAAATTTTACTTATTCAGAGCTCAGTAAGGTCTTTTGTGATTAAGCTGACCAAAATTTACATCCAAAAATCAATTTGAAAAATCAACTTTTTTGACCTTTCGGAGGTCACTGAAGGTCAAGTAAAGGTGAAATCCTAAAACTAATGTCAGATTTAAACTCCAGGCAACTTGTAGATGATTTTCAAAAAAAAATTTGGTCAAATTGAAGCAAGTTGAAAAATAACTTATTTCTACTGTTTTTTGACGTCAAATATTTCAAAAACGGTAAAAATTTGATGCTGACATATATTGAGAAATATGTAGGGAATGCTTAAATCTATTAATGATGTAATTTATTGCAGGAAATGATCAAGTATAAGGCAAACTTTAAGAATCTTGTCAATCACAAAACCTGCCATTGACTTTATACATGAGAAAGTTTCCTGAAAATGACTAAGTCCTAGTTTTTTTCAAATTTTATAGAGTAAGCACCAAAAACCGTAATTCCAAGAGCTTTGAAATCTTCAGAGGACATAGGTTGCATATACACCAACTACTAAAAGTTATTTGAAAGTTCTACTTCAACAAAGTGTCTAGTATTTACAGAAAATTTGAATTTTTGACGTCAAAATCCGCAATTTCTCGGAAACCAGGCGAACTTGGGAAATCACGATGATAGGTCAAATAGGCATTATGGATATGCATAAAATGAATGTGGATATGACTCAATCCGAATAGCAGTTTTAATTTGTGCAGCCAATGTTGACGGACGGACGGACGGACCAACGGACGGACGGACCAACGGACGGACCAACGGACGGACGGACCAACGGACGGACGGACGCCTGGTCAATCCCATAGGCTCACTGTGTGAGCCAAAAATGAGTAGACAAGACTTTACCGACACAATCTGAGGACGGAAAATCCAAAATGGCCACCTTAAAATTTACCCAGAATGCCAAAAATAAGTCCGTTCTAGATTTTCATACTAAGAACCACCCCTGAAAATTTGAAATTGATCCGTCACACAGTTAACCAGAAAACATGTAAACAAAACTTTATAGACAAGATTTGAGGACAGAAAATCCAAAATGGCTGCCTTGACATTTACCCAGAATGCCCAAAAACTAATCAGATCTAGATTTTCATAATAAGAATCATCCCTGAAAATTTTAAATTGATCCACCAAACGGTTCACCTGAAAACGCGTAGACAAGACTTTACAGACAAGATTTTAGGACGGAAAATCCAAAATGGCTGCCTTGACATTTACCCAGAATGCCCAAAAACTAATCAGATCTAGATTTCCATACTAAGAATCATCCCTGAAAATTTGAAATTGATCTACCAAACAGTTCACCTGAAAACGCGTAGACAAGACTTTATTGACAAGATTTTAGGACGAAAAAATCCAAAATGGCCGACAATAAAAAAAGTGATTATGAGTTTTTGCTGATTTCTTTTTACAAAATTATCACATATAACTACTGTTAACAATAACATAGGCTTTTACAACAAAGTACACCTGAAATTATTTATAAAGCTACTAAATAGTTAAAGTATCAAAACTGAAAAACACCATTCAATATGATACAAAGTATTATCGTGCGCTAAGTTTTCTTCAAACATTCAAAATGGCTGACATGACTGAGCTAACTGGTCCAAAACCTAATCAGATCTAGAATGAAGTGAGCTGAACAAGATGTTAAAGTTTTAAAAGCAACTGTGAATCCATTTTTCTTAAAGTTTGCAGACAAGGATTTTAGCATTTGACTTCAAAATGGCCGACAGGAAGTAGGTATCAAGCTAATTTTTTTTCATCCACATCTATATGCACTCATAAAATATCCCTGAAAATTTGAAGGTGATACCTGTAGCGGTTTTGGAGAAAACTGCCGGACGTACGGACAGACGGACAGACAGACAGACATCTTGTAATATATAGATACACTGTCCCACATGTTTTGTTAAAGAGCAACTGAAGCATACAATCTTTCCACAAAGATAAATTCAGACCAACATTTGGATATCTACATCATGTAGGTAGATTATAATTGATTTTACTTATTTGTCATATCCAGTATTTAATTTATTATAGGTTTAAACCCATATTAATATTGAAGTCATATTTGGTAAGTTAAAATCCAGTATATATTAATTATAGGAAATACCCATATTAATATTTAAGTCATGATTGGTAAGATAAAAATCCACATTAGATATAAAAGCAGGTTCCTCAGGCTTGTGACTGGGCATAGGTGGGTTTAACGTTTTAGTCCATGGAAACACTCCCCTTCCCTGCATGGATTCAATAAATAAGACATAACTGGGTCCCTGAACTATATTAACAAGTCCATGAACGCTTCAGTATACGGTGTATTTTTACAGTTAACATTTTTCATTTGTTTTCCATTCTTATAGTTAACATTTTTTATTTATTCCATTTTTTATTTTCCTATTCATATATCTATACCATTTACTCAGTATTTTAAACTATTTAAAAAAATTATATGTATATATATTTTATTTAAAAAAAAAAGTTTAACCTGTTAGGGTATGGGATTAATGGACTATTTAGACTATACACCATGTGTATAAACCAGAAAAATTTTGTATAGTTTAAAGTCATTTTCGGACCACTTACCAAAATACTCCAACTCAGCCACATCAATATTGGTACACAAAGTCAATAAAAGGTGAAAGTGCAAACCACAAAGGGAATTAAGCATGCAAAGAGGAAAATGAGGAAAAGCAGGAAAAGCAAGTAGAGCATTAAAAGTGCAAACTATCTAGTCACTCCAAACAACCAACACCAGGGAAATAAAGTATGAGAAGGGTCTCTGTGATCGTGTAGTTAAACATTCAGAGGAAATGAAAAAATCTTTTGGAAGGAATGTACACTTAAAAAATTACATAAAAATGTAATATTCATATTAGTATTTTAACTGTTTAAAATACTGATATCCCCGTTTCGATATTATGATGGGGCTAAGGGTAAATTAGGATCTATTATAATCCTCACCATTTTTTCAATTTTTTTGTATTTCTGTATTATAGTTGGACAATCATCACAAGGGCAAGCCCTAAACTATAATAGTTTTATTAGTTTTTAAATTTATAACTTGTTAAGCTTGATTATTTAACTTGGCAGAAGGACGGACAATAGGCCGACAATATGGACCCACACTATGTGGTGGGGACATAAAAAGACTTGAAACCAGAAAAATGTTTGTAAGTTTTTTGCAAGGTCAAATTTTGACCTGCATCTGTGTTGCTTAGACCATTATGCTACTATTCAAAATGTTTTACAGTGCCTATGTTTCCCCTTTTTCAGATCCTGCATATGTTTTAAAACATAGAATGGCCAGAAAGTGATATTGAATGTCTACTCTTTTCGTGTGAAATGAATACCCTACAAAAATTACATATGACACGCTAATATATGTATACTCCATACCCATATGTGCCTTGATTTCTGCTGGATCAGTACATATACATTTTTTGGGTTGTTGCATTTTAGGTTCCATTTTAGGTTTCTTTTCTGGAACCATGTCATCATCCATATAGGGGTCAGGGGCATTTTCATTCTCTTCCTCAGGTTTTTTCTCTGGTTTGCAGAAGCATTCGTCTCCCTCCGCACACCGCCCAGCCAGTGTGAATATACCAGGGGGCATCAATGTCCCACAATATTCACCTCTCTCTACTATTCCACACTATAATATGATCATGAAATACCATACAAATATTTCATACTATCGAGTTGAATACCTGTTCATCAATGATTCTAGCAAGGTGTATTCCCCGAAGCTTGAAGGGCAAGGGAAATACACATTGCGGAATCACTGAAAGTGCAACAGGTATTAACTGAAAATAGTATGAAATTGTTGTTTTATTTCTCGCTGTTAAATTCCCCACTCTCTCACTTTTTGGAATGTCTTATAAGAACATGACTTATCAGATTTTCCATATCCCTTTCAGATTAACACTGAACATAACATCAGGCCAGGTGAATATGCCTGTTGAATACGACTTTTTCTGACATCACAGGCAATACATCTTCATATTTTTTGTGTCATCCGAATTATATATACCAATGAGAGAGTGGGGAATATGACAGTGATATAAGAATAATATTTATTATAAATGCAATATGTTCCTCAATTTCTAGACAAAAAAATATGGAAAATGATTGATGGAGGTAAACATGTATCTTGAAAGGTGACCATACAAAAATGTAGGATGGTATATATAAAAATTTCTGTCTGATGTTTAAAACTAGAAATCAGCAACTCCATGGAGTAGCATACCCCAACAAACCCAATATTCATGAATGTGGATATGTCACAATGTAACATTTACTATCTTCTCTACCCTTGATTGAATTGGCAGATGTTTAAAGACATGCATTAGAAATATATCATAATTTTAATTTAAGCATTTGGGTGACCAATTAGTAGTTTCAAAGGCACAAATCACAAAAACAATACAATATTTGAAACCATAAATCAGATAGCAAATCAGAAAACAACACCATAATTTAAATTCCTTCAATTTGAGTATAATATTGAGAGCCATACTTAGAAGAAGTCAGAAAATTATTGCAAAACAATTTCCGTCATTTCTAAAGTGGCTGCCATCTTGAAATTTTTTTTACGTAAACTTATTTACCAATATATATCTTTCCACCAAATATGAAGCAAATCCCTATACTTGTATTTGAGTAATCTTCCGGACGGATGGACTGGTGGACTAACTGATGGATGGATGGATGGAAGGCTTCACTGTATCCCTACCAAACTTTGTTAGTTGGGATAAATATTTCATGGTTGACCCTCTTATAGTATGTACCATACCATTGTAGTGAGGCCATATTTTTATATGTATATAAAATATATAAGTAAATCACTTTGAACTTACTGGATCTGCTATAGCTCCAGGTAGCACAAATCCAACAAGGCAAATGCCAAAAGTCAAAGGTATCAGGTATTTTGCCATACTAGTAGTTACTATAATATAAAAACAATTAAATTAAATTCAACACAATTTTGTGATGTTGATTACACGAAATATGCAGTGATCTCCCTGCCTGAGAACCCACTTGCCCAAACCTAACTTAAATATGAGGAAAGCCATGAAAATTGGTATATTTTGACCAAAAGAATTATGTCACAACTTGAGAAAAAAATCCTGTAGAGAAAACTGATATGATTTCTTTTGTTTGTGTTGTGGACAGTAATTGCAATGATCTATTAAGTGTATAAATAAAATGTTCAGCTCTTACCTTCAATTCTCCTTTTGAACTGACCACTACTGCACTGTCCACAAGGCTTTTATATCAAATGGACATGTCCGAATCACGCTATATGTGACAACATGTTTTGAACTTCCAAAACAATCAACATTAAAAATTCAATTAATAACATTTTAATTATATGAAACAGATACGCATATCAAATATAAAATCAAAATCAAAATCATACGCATGACTCAATAAGAAGAATAGGCCTTGAGTTAATGTGAAATGTGTCACTCAGTTCATTACTTGAAGTAAACAACATGCCTATATAGTTTGTTCTACTTTTCAACATTGTTTTAAACATTTTGTATTATATGGATCTGATATAGAAAACAAATATGATTTGTTATTCCCAAAGTTGAATGTTGCAGTCAATGTTTATCTGACTGATCCTTATCTATAGTCTAATTTTAAATGCTTGGAACTACTTTGAATTTAAAAAATAAGCAATCAGAGGACCATATTGAAACAGTATATGTAAAAATAGAAACATTTAATACATGTCCTAACTTTTGTATATTTTACTTTGTTTTGTAGTTTAGCTATCATACCTGTGGCTTCTTATATTTTGATGCTTCTCTGCCATGTTATTTTCAGAAAAATTAACATTGCTGAAACTCCCTAAATTACAAAAGGCCACAGCAATGCTGCACATTATACATAACTATCTGAAATATACAAAAGTTAGGACAAGTTCATATGTTTCTATTTTTTATATACTGTTGCAATATATAGTCATTTGATTGCTTATTTTTAAATTCAAAGTACGTAGTTCCAAACATTTAAAATTATACTCTAGAAATTATGAAAAGCTATATATATACTTAAAATATAGATCGCAAATTCTAGAAATTATTCAATCACTCAAGTGAAATAGAGTCAATTAGAGACTTTAGCTTGCATATAAAATTGAAACAGCAACTGTTCACCAACAGTGTTTGCTAAGACTACACCACAGAAGATAATACCATTGATACTTCTATAGTTGGTTTTCTGATACATATCTTAACAAGCTCCTTTCTTAAAATGTTTGGAGCTTAAACATGCATGTTAGATTGCCAGCATAGTATTCAATAGACATGAGTATAATAAAAAAAAAATCACTAATTTCTCGTTCTAAACATGAAACTGAAGCTGAGTAGGCATCTGAAGTAGACAAAAGTGCATTCAAAACTATGCACGATCGACACATCCCTACAGTATATTGATTCTGCAAGAAAGAATATGGAACCTCCACAGAAAACAAGAAATAGTTTGAGTTGGGAGAGTTCATCAGTTATACTGTATACTGTTTCATTAATTTGAAAGACAACAAAATATGTGTTTAATTCAATCTACTTGCCCTTTGAGATTTATTCTACTGAAAATTACTGAGCACAGCCTAGACATTGAAATTATTTTTCGAATTGAACAACATGAATTCAAAAGAGAGGGAAATACATGTTTTTGCCCAAGTCCTTATACAAGTAACTTTGCTCCAATTAATGATCAACACCTTTGAAACAAGGATAGGAAAAAATGAATACCTAAAAACAAATGCCATAAGGGAAAGGACCAATCCAGAAAAATATGAAGGCCATAATGCTATTTTGGCAAAACTCAGATCCACATCCAGTTTTTATGAAAATACCACAGAGAAAGACAATGAACAAACTACAGTGTACATGTAAATGCTTGTTTTCTGTTGATTAGGTAACATGTTAATGACGTCACAAATTAAAATATAATAAACAGTGATGTGTGACGTTTAGCTTTGATGTCTGTTTAGTTGATAGGGCAATATGTGACTGGCGTCATAGTTTATGTGATATTCGTCATATCTTCATCACAATCACAACATATGACGTCGTTATCGTTGCCTTGATGATTTGCCATATAAGATAGTAATGGTGGATGTTTGGTCATGTGACTGGTCAAACTTCGGTGCATACAACAAATGGCTCCGCCCACTTTGTGGGGGCTCTTCATAAAAACTGTTAAAGGAACATATCTCAACTGTCTCTATGTGAGAGTTTGGTCAGTTTTTAAAAATAAAATTCAAAACCGGCTTAATATAAAAATTGGGTTGAGCAAAATCCTGTAGACTTGACATTCAGATAACAGAGCAAAAGCAATTTACAAACTTTCTCTAATAATCAATACCATGAATGAAGAAGGAAGTGAAGTGTTTCATGTTCAGAGTATATTATAACTAGATATATATTTAACACATTGTTATAATACAATGCTCCAGTAATTGAATTGAAGTGTCCATGGCCAGGCATTTTTAATCATGCAGTGCTACATCTTTTCACAAAAGTTAATCAAATATATAAATCAATGATTTGTTGATGGGGAACTAAAACATAAAATTATCACTTTGATATGTCAGTTGGTCGTGTGGTTTTGGCAAATAAAACACTGCCCTGACCTAAGTACATGAAGCATATTGGAAAATCTATCAAATATGAAGGTAAACAAGGCATTTAACATGACAAAATGTCACCACCTAGTTGCTTACAATATTATGAGTTCAATTTTAAGTCAGATTTGAATTTCTAAGAAAATGTAGATGATTTTGAAAAGAAATGGTCAATAATAACTCAGATGCACGTAGGTACATAGCTACCAATTTCACCACCAGGTAGCTCATTCGGGTCAGATAGCATGGCGGGTATAGTAGAAAGTTTCATTCATCAATTTTAGTGGTTCAATTTTCATATCATCCTTATGTGTCTAATACATGTAGTTATATACAAATTAAAACATATCCAGTAAAAGAAAATATTATCTGTCCAATACAAGAAAAGATATTTCACTTTTTGTGATGAATCTCCCCGAACTAGAAGACACATTCTCAAAAGAAATTAAATTTTCAAAGTTGATAAACAGTTTTTGACTTTGGGAATGTCATTGAAGGTCAAATCTATAGTCAGATTTGAACTTTTGAGAACTTGTAGATGATTTTGAAAAAGTGGTCAATAAGATACAAGTTGAAATGAAAAAAGACCCTTTTGACCTTTTTTACCTTAAGAAGGTCATTGAAGGTGAAGTCTGAAATAAAAAAAAATTAAATTTGAATTTCTGAGAACTTGGAAATGACCTTTTTTGACCTTGGGAAGGTCATTGAAGGTTAAATCTCAAATCTAAGCTCAGGTATGAAATTCTGAGAACTTGTAGATGATTTTGAAAAATATTGAAGCCTGTCCAAACAAGATATGTATTTGTTAAGTTATTGGGAATTTGAAGCAAAGACATCTATTTCTATATAATGTAAATATGCAGAATGGCAATTACAGCTGAAATGTAAAATTGCGCTCAAAATTGGACCCTGTGTATTTCAATGGGGAAGAACCCAGATGTGAAAAATCTGTACCCGAAATGAGAGCTCTTCAACACAGGACGTAAAAATATTGTTGTTACTCTGACCTATCACGTATAAGTCTATTGTAACACCTGAACAAATAAAGAAGTTGTTGAAGGTTTAAAGCAATGTCTAAATGGAACTCATCTCTTTCCCTCCTGTTTTAACCACGTGTGCAGCACTATTTTTGATGATGCAGACTAGAGAAAGGTGTTGTCAATCTTACCACCTCACTAGCTAACAAGGCATTTACATGCAAAATGTCACCACCTGCCATTTGTTACAGGCACTGAATCCTGGACAACCACTGCCGAACACCAGCTGCAAGACACCAACCACTGAATGCTGTCCACAAAATAGTTGAAGACTATAACTTGTGGTGGTGACATAAAACCAGTCCAACAATAAGAAGTTTTCCAGCTCACCTGTATTCCAGATCACTTAGCATAAGCAGTAGTTTAGCCCTGAGGAAGTTACTCTGTGCCTGGAGAGAGGGGCTAGATGCTCCCCCACCTCCCCCTCCCCCACTTGTCAGGTTAGGACTGCTCATGCTTTCCTAGACGATTGTACCATCAAGTCCATCATCTCTTTGTCCTTTTCCATGAAGTCTTTCTGATTTGTACTGTTCATGTTTCATTCAAGATATATATTATTTCCTCACTCTTAGAATGCTTTCTCAAATCTAACTCATATCCTTATTCATTTATGACTGGTTATCTAGCAAGGAGCTTTCTCCAAAGAACTTTAAAATATTATCATCCCATACAGGATTAACGTGTCCTCACATTTATCAGATTTATCTCATTTATTTCCTTATATCTATTTTATGTCACTGGTTTCCTAATTCTACTTTCAATTTAGGCCCATGTTCCTCATCACAGCCAATACATCACAGTGTCTATGTCAATATATATCCTCAATTCTATATAATTCTCTGCCTCACAATTTCACCATTTCAACATTTTTTCATTACTTAGTCCATCTTATACAAATAGTAGATCTTGTAATTTGGTAGAAGCAATTGTTTCGTAGTGATTGTCCAATCTGACGAAAAATTTGATTCTTATTTAAGACATTCATCTTTTCTCTCACTCTGGTGCTTCAAAAAATCTTTATGAGTGTTCATAAGTGATTTTATCTTCTTGCGAATATATCACTTGGCACATGATTTCATCTTAACCAATTCTTATACTGAAAAGTAACAGGTATCGAGCTTATCTGTAAATAGAAGTGCTTAGCAAAAGCCACCAATATACTGATGTAATTATCGTAGACTTCGAAAGCTTACATTGTCTATTTGGTTCTGGTAGATCCTCAGGGACTATGATGTATGTTCACAATTGTGCCTGCATGAATGAACCCAATTGTCGAAATCGTTGTTCCCTCTTCAAAAGAGGAGACGTAAAAATCTTTCCTTATAAGGTCAAAATATTTCCCATGATGCAGTTCGCGGAGGAACAAATTTATACTTCCTTGTTTTCCCTCATAGGTTTAACATGGGGATTTTCACACCTATTTTTCAATCGATATATTCGTTCATATTCCCGTACGAGAGTACAGAAAAAATTATGAGAAACGTTTGATCTCTTATTAATCTTAATATAACAGCTATTTTTTTCATTGTATTGATTCATGACGTGGTGAAAACGATGATTGAAAAGTGAGAAAATATTCCGGAAGAGAAGGTCACGTGATCAGTTGACTAGTCGCCATATTGGAAAAAACAATTCCATTCGACTTTCAATACTTTCATGCCAATCTTACCGCA